AGGGTTCAAAGCATTGCTCCTCACAAAGTCACTAGTGCTTATAAAAATCTCAAAGTCAAAACCGAATTTGCAAATGATAAATAGAGCAAAGTCCATACGTCTACTGTGTCTCCTCCCATACAATAGTTGTCTGTTGAGCATAAATAAATTTATTGATTGCAAAAATTTATGTTAATTTGTTTGTGTACATTTGGGGGGGGGGAGAGATTTTCGTTTTAAAAAATTGATAGCTATGCACTTATTGCTTGAAGAATCAGTAGCTGGTTAAAAAAAGGTTAAATATATCTGTGACCAGTGTTAAATACGGCTAACGTAGGAGCTTCTCTTAAATGCAATGGGAGGATATTCCACACTAGGGGAGCAGTTCTTTGCCCTTTGTTTCCCCCAAATTAATCCATTCATCTTTAGCCTTTACTAACCCGTCCATTTTCAAACAAACCAAACCAATGATATTCTTGGTACAGAAAAACAGGTTTCAGTTTTCGTAGACTTGCGCTGACTCTGAAAAGGACCTTCAATCGCTTCTAGATACCGCTGTAACAGAAAGTGAACGTAAAGGACTGTTGTTGCATATAAAGAAAACAGAAGGCCTGGTAATATACAAAAAGCAGCAAATCCTATTTGTAATCTCGTTAGCAAAGGCGAAAAGATTAAACAAGTCCAACAGTTTAAATATCTGGGGTATATAATAGTATCTGATGCCAAATGTTCCACAGGAATAATACGGAGGATTACAATGGCTAAGGCTAGTTTCAATAAAATGAGCCCAATCCTGTAAAATAGAAAAATGTCAATGACTACCAAAATGAAAGCTCTGAAATGCTATGTATAGTCAACCCTTCTATATGGCTGGGAATGCTGGACAATCACTAAAAGCAATATTAAAAATTAAAAGAAGCAGCAGAAATGTGGTTTCTTTGGAGACTGCTGAGAATATCGTGAAAGTAAAATAAATCAAATGAGGTAGTGCTTGATGAGGCCCACGTGGGACGCTCACTGTTAAAAACTATCAGGAAATGACAAATGCAGTTTTTGGACACCTAAATAGATATAAAGGTCTTGAACATCTAGCTCTCACAGGCAAAATTGAAGGCAAACGAGGCAGGGGTAGGCCCAGAGCAACCTACTCAGTTAAGCGAAACAAATGGGCAACAAGGAAAGATCAGGGAAATGTAGCTTTTTAGGAGCATCCGAGCAAAGGAATGAATGGAGAACCATGATCGCAGAAGTCTGCCGGCGATCTGGCACTGAATCATAATGATGATGATGGTGGTGATGATGATGATGACGATGATGATGAGATTTGTGCAGGAAAACAGAGGTTCAAAAAAATAAAGAGGCCGTCCTTTTAAAAAATAAAACTGATCTGTGCTAATAACTTTTGAAAGAAAACTCCAGTGTATTTCGAATTTTGACACTAGACATGTTTCTTTCGTCTTAATAGCACTTTTTAAAAATGCTTCGCGTCTAACTACCACTGGGCGATTATAAATAAACCTTCCAGTGTGGGCTCTTGGCCTTATATGAAAATGAAAAATAAATCGAAACCAAAATCTGTTATGTTAATGAAACTTCGCTTGTTTTAATAGTTTTGTATTGTGAACTTTGTGACAGCTTTATTTCAGGCCTTGAAAAAAAACATTTACACGACGTGCCCTTTACGAAATTAATATTGTAAGAAATATGGACTGTGTCGTTATTACGCCGCTGATAAGGCAGAAAAGGGCCCTTCGTCCCGGGGAGATTTGCCTTTAGATATGACGCGGTGACTCCAAAGGAAATATTATTACCAGGAAAGACGAATGGAGATTGTTGTAGTTTTATAATAATCTCAACTTTAAAGGAATCACAAGTTAAAAGCACAGTTTTATTCTTTTTAAATTAATAGTTTATGTACGTGCTTCTTCGAAAATATACAATGATCATGTGAAAAAGGGATGGGTTCCAATATTATAGGGAATGGATCTCCGTATTTATTCTTTCATTAAGTTGATGGTGTCCTTGTGTACGCAGTTCCTTTTTTGCAGAGATAGCGTTTTAATAACTTGAAAAATCTTTTAAGAAATATCTTTTTTGTTTAAATTGTTTGAAGTATTGGCCTACCTGGAATGTTCAAGATCCGCAAACAGGTGGTGAAACTCTTTAATGAGCCGTTGAATATAACTTCAGGCGTAGATTGATCACTTTGCGCACGATGAAATGTCCGTGTCTGAAACTCCGGGAATGATTTCTCCGCCGAAATCGAAGCTTGCACTGAACAACCGAGATGACGTGACACTGTTTTTGATGGCGCTAGATAGGTGTGACTCGAGGGCGCTACAATTGTTTTGTTGGGGGTTTTTGTGCCCTGGATACGCGAGGGTTTTTTTGTGTATGGTGATGGTTATTAATTTGGCATGTTGCACGAGTGCAAGAGGGTTGTTATTGGAGACAAGTGTTTGTGCACGGGGTTTTGGGGTTTGTTTGTTTGTTTGCGGTTGTTGTTGTTTTTTTGGTTGTTTTTTTTTTTTTTGGTGTGTTTTTTGGTTGCTTTTGTTTTTATTTTCGATTTCTTTTTTAAAATCTTTCTTGTGTTATTGTGATATCTCGTGTAAAGGCAATTGATATGATGGAAACCCGAGCATTGTACCGAAGACAACTAGGTTTCTCTGTACAATTGTCTAATGTGGTGCTGGACTGCGCCTGTGGCACTGTTATTGGACCTAGCGGGGTTCCTGCTGAATAATTCCTGCTGCTCTCGCATTAGCTCTTAACATGTGTGTATCCTCACTCCGGCCGTTTCTTGCGTTACGGGCGCTTCGTCATCAATCGTGAATTAATGCTCTCAATGACTCCTTTGTCATATCGCTGTTTTGTCGTTGTGGCTCGGGTTGCTGGTTTCTGACTACACTGCTGCTTCCGCGGTCTTTCTTAGTTCCATTCACAGCCAATGACATTGTTGGTCTACTACTTTTATATTCTACTCCCATGAATTTTACACTATGTTTGTGGGGGTTTTTCCCGCCTGTTCTGCCTGATTTATTATTCCCACCTTCTAACCTGTCTAACTATCTACCTACCTACCTCATATTATATATCTATCTACCTATCTATCTATCTATCTATCTATCTATCTATCTATCTATTTATCTATCTATCTATCTATCTATCTATCTATCTATCTATCTATCTATCTCTCTATCTATCTATTTGTCTATCTATCTATCTAGCTATTTGTCTGTCTTTCTGTCTCTCTATCTATCTGTCTGTCTATCTATCTATCTATCTATCTATCTATCTATCTAATTATCTATCTATTTGTCTGTCTTCTTGTCTCTCTTTTTTTTTTTAGTAGAGTGTTTTACGGCGCTCGCAACTGCATAGGTCATATGAGCGCGCGGGACACGCCTAATATTTTCAGTTGGTAGGAAATTTTGAATTTTGCCCGGGTGGCGGCCGAAGCCTAATCTTATCGATTTTAGACCACCAAGGGATCTTTAACGTGCGCAACTTGCACACGGGCCCTCCGTGATTTTTCGCCCTTGTCCGAGAAGGCTAGGTGTAGATCTTTCCTACCAGAAGATCAGGGGTGTGGCTGAAAGACTGCAGTAAGAAGAAGCGAAGGAGTAGCAGTAGAAAGGCTGCAGAAAGAATCAGGAGCCCAGAGGAAGTGGCAAAGGAGGTGACGGGGTGAGGGCAGAAAGTGGAGACGAAAGCAGAAGACAGAACATTGCTAAAGATTAGGAAATGAGGTAAAAGGAGACAAATTTAGAGAAGAAAATTTTTCGGTCGCTACCCGGATTCGAACCCGGGACCTTTTGAGTGAGAGGCCAACACCTTAACCTCTAGGCCACGAGAGCCCTCCTTGTCTCTCTATCTATCTGTCTATCTATCTATCTATCTGTCTGTCTGTCTGTCTGTCTGTCTGTCTGTCTGTCTGTCTGTCTGTCTGTCTGCCTATATGTGTATGTGTGTGTATGTTTGTATGGGTATGTATATAAATGACTTCCAGATATGTGGTTCAGCTGTTAAACAGCCGCGAACCAATGGGGAATATTCCCGGAGAGTTCAGGAGAACCCTGTTGGCACAGTTTGTTCATTCAAAACCCAAATGCAGAAGGGACGATCGTGGCGCCCAAACTCCTTCTAAGGCCTCCTCTGTCTTTTGGGTAGTCACGTACTGAGAAATGCTAGCCGGGCCAAATACTCAAAACGGCAGGCCTGTGGAGAAACGGCAACTGTGTAATGTCCAAATAAAACAAAGAAAGGAAAATACGTCTTTTCTCAAATAAAAGAGGCTATGAGGTCCATGATCCAGCTCTGAACTCCTTGGGTGGTCGGAACTGCCGTGGGTGGTCGGAACTGCCGTGGGTGGCTCGCGGTGCCCGATCGTCCTCTATAGTGCGGTAAAAAATTCGTGGCGAAACTTATACTCAAATGTCTCTTAACGGGTGAATCAATGTCACCGATACTTTGCACAGCAGTTTGTATCAGTTTATCTGAACTTACTCATATTTTTCCACAACAACGGAGGCCAGATTTAAAACATTTTCTTCATAAATTTTAAAAATACTATAATACTCCGTCATGCAAAAAATATGATTGTTCACAGCACTTCCCGCTTCTCACATACATTTTGTATACGTATGTGGCCTATACCGCAATTCACCAAAGACATTTTAGTGGCAAAACGTGTCACAAGAAATGAATTTTGTAGTGAACACTTTTTTGCACTAACGGTTCTCAAAACATGCATTCAATAAGCATAATGTTGCGATTAGAAAAAAATGACAGACTTGCTTTGTAATGCGATATTCCCCCCTGCTGTAAACCTTTAAAAATCTGCAGAAACCACTCACTTGGATCTTTTATTATGTTTATTAAGGAATTTTCTAGAATTCAGCTAAAAGTTGCTAACAAAAATATTGTTCTGTTAAAACAAATTGGTACACGTCATTGTACAAAACCTGGGTAGCCAATGTTCGATAGTTGAGGAGATATTTAGCAATACGTTGCGCCACGAATTTTTGACCGCACTATAGTTGAGGACAGCAAACCAAGATCAAGGTTGACGCCACTTAAAACTGCCCCTTGAAATGTCAGAAGAGTGTATCAGGCAAACTAGATATAATTCAGAAAATGGATAAGGTGAAATTGAACATTTTGGATCTTTCAGGAGCAAGATGGAAAGAGTAAAGTTTGGTCAAATCAAGGAGTAAAATAATAGTACATTCAGGAGGACAAGCCCATCTAAAGAGGTGGAGAAATTGTATTTGACGAGGCAATAGTTAAAAGTGTCAAACGATGTGTTGGAGTTTCAGACAGAGTAATTGCCGCTAAGCCAGAAGAGAAACCATTGGACCTGTGAATAATTCAATATGCATGGCATATACTAGGGTATATGCAGGTATGTACCAGCACTGGAGCATCACAATGAGGTAGTAGAGAACTTATCTGATTTATGAATACAGCAATTAAATAATTTAAGTCTCTGGATAGTTATAAGGGACTTCAATGCAAAACTATGAGGCACGTGGACAGGAGATTATATTGGAGTAAGAGGGATAGGTGACAAAAGTGGACACAGTCGTCTCGTAGAATAGTTCGAAGAAAACGATTTCGTGAACTTAAATCCCTGGTATGAGAACCATCTAAGACGGTACACTTGGAAGCGCCTTGAAAACTAAATCGACTTAATACTTGGACAGAAACTTTTCAGACGTACATGATACAGAAAAGTGGACATCAGTTTGACAAGTATCATGGGCTTCGTTGTTTTCCCTTGTGTCTTCACAATTATGTTTCCACATAATAGCAGACTTAACTACAAGGGACCAAGAGAGATTGCAGTTTAAATCTGACATTCATTTATGAAACAAATGACTATTATTCTTGGTGAACTTATGAAACGCTGTTTCTTCAATACCTGCAAAATATGTTATCCTGGGTGGTACGGTACCTCTTGAGCCACATTAAGAATGGTATGGATGAGGTATAGCTCCGAGAATCGAACTCACTTACGTGCATCGTGCCTTTCGTGCTCCGACCACTTTTGCGTATCATGGCAGAGTTTTGTTGAGCCCTTTTTATGCAATCTCTGTGCCTAAAACGAGGTTACTCCGATGACCACAGGACGTGTTGCCTTTTATATTCCACAAGTTCAATCCTATGATTAGTCCTCACAGTTTATCCATTATACATTGAGGTCGTTAAATACGTTGCCTCATCTGATAAATCGATAAAATGCATGTATCGCCTATTGTCAAAGAAAGCAACACTGTTACACACCTGGATGAGTCTAACGATTGAGTGAGTTGCGGTGTTGTTTACTGCAAGTCATGGGGCGGGGGAAAGGGGGGGGGGAGCGCTCACTTCCTTAAGAATGTTATGTCTTGGATGATGTAAGGCTAAAACGAGAAAGGAAGAAAGTCACTTGGAGTGTCCGGAAACTTGGGAAGAGTGCCCTTGCCCATAGTTCTAATCGAATGGTGTCGTTTATGTTGTCGGTTTTTTAATTGGTGTTTTGGTTTGTTTGGAGGTTTGTTTGTTTGTTTTTTTTCTGTTTTGAGATAGTTTGTTGGTTGATGTTTTTTCCAGTTGTATTTGGGTTGAGATTTTTGTTTGTTGTTGTTTTTTCTTCTCTTTTTGAGGGGTTGTGGGTTCTTTACCCCATTGTTTTGAGTTTCTTTTTTTCCCTACGCTTTGTACTCCCGTTGCCTCTTTTTGCCGCTATTGAATATTCGATCATATTTTGTGTGTGTATGTGTGTGCGTGTGCGCGCGCGTGCGTGCGGGTGTGTTATGCATTCGTGAGATATTTTGACGACTGATTTAGAAACTGAGTTTTGCCTGTCAGTTTAAGGCTGTTGTCAGTCTTTGTACACAGGGAGAAGTTTTTTAAGCAGCTAATTTTCCTCCTCTTCAGTCTCCATTATTGTATGCTGCTTGGATCTCTTCTAAATAGGGTATAGAAACCAGCGCCTCGGGTGTAGCAGTTAGACGCTTTGCTGTCTGTCGCTGGAGACCCGAGTTCGATTCCCGAGAAGGGAAAAATTCTTATCGAGTATTTCGATCTTCCTGCGTGGATGTTGTATTCCTCTCAGTCGCAGTTGGCAGGCCCATCTCATAAATCGTCTAAATTGTGTCGACACGGTGTAAAACCACCTAAGTTTTTATAGGAAATCACGTGACATTTTAGTTTTTCCCTCACGCCAGTTTCTCCAGACATCGAAGGGATCCACAGTTCCGCCGGCGTCTGTAGTTCAATGGCTGGGCTCTCGCAGCGCTCGCAAAAGACGTGATTCCTCGCGGAAAAGGGCATTTTGTAGAGTATATCCGTCTTCCTGCTGGGAGGCATCCTTTATTTTCCGACGTAGCTCTAGCAAGGCCTAAGCACCTTCCTCTAAAATGTTCTAAATCGTACATTGGGGCGTAAACATTTATGACATTGACGTATCCAGTAATATAGGAGAGAAGATATAGAAAACCAATATGCGGTGAGGGGGGGGGGGGTTCTCATTTTTTTTAAAGAGAAAAAATGGGGGGATGGCTCCCTTTGGTGGACCTACAACACCGACGTAAATAAGTACCATTGAGGAAGAACCTGACGCAGAGGGTCACCTCCGCAGAACTCCTGCCAGCTACCTCCTTGTCGGTTTATCCCCCCCAAAAATACATTCAAATCCTGCCTCTTGACGGACGTGGATCTGTTGGAAGGGCGTTAGACCCGCTCATTTGCCAAAATCGCTCCCATGGGAGAAGAGTTGGGGGAGGGGATGGTGCCATCAATATTAATTTCCGTCAAAGGATGCCGACGATCTTTCTGTAAATTGTAAGGCCGAGGCTTCCTTTCAATTAGAATTTTAAATTTTTCATGACTTTCCATTCTCTGACTGGTCAGTCACATAGAAGATAGACGTTACTCGGAGACTTGGGTCTCTGAAAGAACTCAGCTATGTTCAAATGGACCTAAAATTCTATACCGTGCCGTGCGGTTGTATCCTTATTGTTTCTTATTTCCAGCCTCCCAGTTGCCACCTTCATTACTACCATTTTATGTGTGGGCACCCTTGCGTTGTATTGTTATTTTGTCATATGTACATGTATGTTTGTGTGCAAGGTTTTATTGTTTTTATTATTGTTATTATTATTATTAGATAAATGCTGTTTTATTTTTATTTATTGTGTGCAAAAAGAAGGCCAACAAAGTGTGTCTTTCCTCTCTTATCAGGACTACAACTACCAAGAGGAGATGGAGCCCAACTCCCCCACCGTCCCTCCCGTCAAGGAGAACGGCATCATCCCACCTGCCAGTAATGGTGCCGCTGCCAATGGCACCCCCATGGACACCAGCATCTTCTCACAGATGCCCTTCCGAAAGAAGAAAAGTCCTCTGCGCATGGGCAAGAAGGTGTACGAGTTCTACAACGCCCCTGTGACGAAATTCTGGGCGCACGCAGTGAGTTGCCTTCCCTTACTTATCATTCGGAACACTGATTTTATTCTAATACTTCCCAACACAACTCTGGCGACCTCCATTCTCTTGTAAAGTCTTTTTGAAAAATTGTTTTCTTTGTTTTTTGGGGGTCTGCTTTGGTTGTTGTTGATAATGATATTGCTGTTTCGTAAGTATGGAGCGCGGTTCTTTTTTTATATATCGTGGGTGGCTGGTGGGTGCTTTGTGTGGTGTATTCAATGTGTTTCTTCCGCGTGAGTTCTGTTCTAAATGTTTTCGTGTCTGCTCTGTACTTCAACTTACGAATCTTTTTTATGTTTATGTGTGTTACCCAACCTGTCTTTGTTTTTGACCGATGCCTCTAGGAAATTTTTCTTTCGGTATCTTTTTGTGTCCTTACCGGTCTATTCTATATCTCTTGCTCTCCTCAGCAATTCTCTTTCTCTCTCACTGTTCTTATTTTGGAGGTTTGTTCTTTGGCTTTGTTTTTCTTTTTTAAGTTTATTTTTTTCTAGTGAGGGAGGGGCAAAAAGATATTGCACAACGACGCGGACGTCAATGCTAGAAGTGTTGTTGGAAGAAGCCAACAAGGCAGACAAACAAGTATACTACCCCCCCCCCCCCCGGGGCAGTGCCACTGACTGTAGTGTCTTTAGGCCATTCCCAAAGGGGGGACATTTCTGGTTCAAGCACAGTAGAATTGTAAATGGGCTGATTCATCATGTCACGCTCATAACTGTGCCTGGTCTGCAACAGGGAACTGCTGCTTTTTCTTTCCTAATCCTTACTATTGTCATTTTCCTCTACTTTTTTGTATGCTTGTCACTATTGTGACCCGCTATTTCCGGGGTGCCTTGATAGTCGAAGCAGACCTTGTGCTGTTGAAGCTAGAGAGGTGAGCAGAAAGTCTGATTCCCAGTAAGGACCTCTCTGTTGACACCCACCCCTTGGCGCTCATATGACCTTATGCAGTTACGAGCGCCGTAAAACCCTCTACTAAAAAGAACAACACCAAAAATAAGAAAAAGTATACCGGTTGTGATGAGAACCATGTGTCTGTCCACAGATCGGCTACATGCTGTTCCTTGTTCTCTTCTGCTACGTGATCCTGGAGCGTCTCAAACCCGTGCCCACGTGGGCAGAGCTCTACATCATCGCCTTCATCTTCACCATGGCGCTGGAGAAGATCCGACAGGTCAGTGATTCATACTTTGGTTTGTTTGTTTTTGTTTTGTTTTGGGTTTTTGTTTTTGTTTTGTTTTTGTTTTCTTAGTTGTTTTGATTATTTTGCTTGTAAAGGCTCTCTGTTAGCTTAATTCATTCTGGACTAGGGAGTGGACAACCCTGGTTCGAATCCCCAAGCGGGCGTTCTTGAACTCGTTCGGTTTGTGGAGTTTTCAAGGGTTTTAACCCACATGCTTAGTCATATGACATATGGGTGTTAAATTTGGAGATCCCGCCTTTGAAATCAGCTAACTGTGGTGATAGGGGCGTTAAACCCATACGCTTACTTTACTTTGACGTTCTAACGCTTTGTACCAGACAAATGCAGATCATTGCAAAACAAAAGGTGGATCGCTTGCCACATCCCCGCACCAACCTACCCAACCACCAGTCCTATCAGCATTATGGAAGCACACCGTGTTACATCTTTTTGTTACTTCCTTAGCAAACGTGCACATGTATCGAGTCTTTGTGACGTGCGAAGCTCTTGTTCAATTCAAATAATGTTTTTGCTCTTTGGTGACAAACATCTTTAGAATACTTCATCTTGTGTCTTTTACGCTTTTGACGAATGCACGTCCATGTGAAAGCTACATTTGTCAGGAAATGCGTGCTGCTTCGACCTCATTGCTATTTAAAGACACTGTTGGTGCATGAAATGTGAACATGTAGTGTGGTGTTGAAAAATCTTGAGAATGTGTTGTTTTGGTTGTTGTTTTGTTTTGGTTGTTTTTTGTGTGTTTTTGTTTGGTTGGTTGGTTGGTTGTTGGGGGGGGGGGGGGATTTTTGGATGGTGCATGTGTGCTGGAGTGTCTGCGGGCTTGCTTGTGTGTCCATGTATGTCTGTGCATGTGCGTGTCCTTGTATGTGTGTGTGAGAGTATGTGTACACATGTACACTGGCATTTTTTACTTAGCTTTTTAAGTAGTTGAACGTTGCTCCTCGGGCTTGTCGCCAATAAATCTCTCTCTCTCTCTCTCTCTCTCTCTCTCTCTCTCTCTCTCTCTCTCTCTCTCTCTCTCTCTCTCTCTCTCTCTCTCTCTCTCGCTCGCTCGCTCGCTCTCTCTCTCTCTCTCTCTCTCTCTCTCTCTCTCTCTCTCTCTCTCTCTCTCTCTCTCTCTCTCTCTCGTTGTGTTTGTGTTTGTGTGTGCATGAGCTTGTTTGCTTTCGTATGTGTATTTTGGTGTCTTCGTGCGCACAAGTAAAGGTTCGTGTAGACCGACTTTCTCTGCGGTCATGTTTTTGTTTCTGTCGGTTTTGTCTGAAAGAACATTTTTGTAGGAAATGCAACACAACTTTGAGCATAAAGGCATTGTGATGCTCGTTTCTTTATATTTTTACTCATTGCGTGACGAACCAGCATAATATCATATCGACGACTGATTATTGTTTTGATTTAAGGCAAAACACAAGAATAGAATGTTCACATAATTTGTGATTTCGTTCAAACTTTCAAAAAAATGTTTTTATTCTCAGAAAATGGATGTGCGTCTAACATGTTGGGGTGTTTTTTTGCGTTGTCGTGTAGATCGTAATACTTTATTTTGCGCCTTGCGCATAGAATTCAAAGTGCTCAGAAAAAATACATGCTCATTTAGAATTCATTTCAATTTCTAAACAGGCATTTGCTTGAAGTCAGTCTGTATAAGCCTTTTATTCTCAAGTGCGTTTCTTTGTCATTGGCATAATCCTTCCACCTTGACTGGAATGTTAAGAGCCTGTCGTGACTTTTCAAATTGATGTCATCAAAAAGTAACCTTCGTTCTTCCTTCATGAACAGGCACCCATTCCACTGTTAGTTGATGAAATGTGTATGCACGCTTAAAGCACAGAAGCCTGGGTACGATTTTTTTAAAATCCTACTTCTTGAAAGGAAAACATTAACTCTCGAGTCAGTTCTTTGTCTGGGTACTATTACCGCTACCGATATGACTTAACGTTGTGTTTATACATAGGATGCAGTGCAGCTTCACAAAAACGACATCCAAGAGGCGTGTGAACATAACAACAGTTATAGCTAAGATACTGACAAATGACCATGTTGGTAAAAAGGGGAGAACACATCTCTCTGCGTGGTGTTGAAGAAAATAGTAATAGTGCTGTACACGGCTTAAGGTGCCCGGCGCGGGGGATAATAAATGCGATCGTATATTTTAGACAATAAGCTGTCAAGTCGTGTGCACGTAAACTGCAAGCGAATTTCAAATGGCAATAGTTTACGCACGACATGTAGTGTAATGTTGTTTCGTTAAGTGTGAATCTTTTCGTCTGTCTGTTTGAAACTTCATTTTCGCACTGTCCTTCGTTGTCCATTAATTATTATTTTATGAACTCCCGACTACTTGTGTGTAAGTGAGTGCGTACCTGCGTACGTTGCGACGCACGCGCGCTGGGGTGAGGGAAGGGTAGGAAAGTCGGATGCCCGAAAATGTCAAGCAATGCCAAGTCCCGTTAGATATCAGATGGGTGGTTACTAGGGCTTGTCCTTGAACGAGGCTATTTTCCTTAGCAACGAAACAAGGGAATCCATCGTAACACCTCACTATTTGAATTTCGAATTTTTTTGTATTGATAAATTTTTCATAATGTGTCGGATATTCTCAGTTGGGGGATCAATAATACAAATGTGTTTGTTCTGTTCTTTATCACATAATGACACATGATTGTCAAGTGCAGAATAAAATGCTAAATACCAAAATGGTACAAAACTCTCGATCATGTCTTTCATAACCTATCGGGTGCAACTGTACAATTTTTTTAAAATTGTATTTGAAAAATATCACATTCATGCTATATGCTCTAATTTGGTTTATTCGTTTTTCATAGAATGTATGACCCGTATGCTCGTTTCGGATCACCTCCATTTTTATCTTAAAATATGACTCGTTTACGTCTAACTAGGCTTTGAGCGTACAATCATTGTTTCTGCAATTAAGGAGAGGTAGGTGAAAAGCTCAGGGCTTTAGCTAGATATTTTTAAGGTTACCCTGTTAATCTTCCGTTCTCAGAACAGGGTCCTCTATTTTAGAGCATACAACATACACACAGTGACAGTACGCGCGCGCGCGCAAACACAAACACACACACACACACACACACACACACACACACACACACACACACACACGCACACACACACTCGCACTCACGCACGCAATCACTTACTTAAAAATTTTTACCCAAACTGAATACACATAAGATTATTATCATGTTGTTTGCCGCTTGTCAGTGCAGCCAGGAACACAATCCTTTGTTGTGGTCCTGTTGATACGTGAACTGTACGTTGCCAGGCTCTCGTGTCGTAAGAATATATTTGCCTTGTGAAAGACATACACAGTCAGACGTGTTGTAGGAGACCTTCGTGGTCCCATTCAAACACACCAGATGCTGTCTCTGAATCTTCACTGTATTATCAATATCACTTGAAGGATACGTGGCTATTGTTTTGTTGTCTTTGGTGTTCGTTTCATCAGAGAGTTTGATTTTTTTTTTTTTTTAATTGTATTGGCGATATCAGCTTCAGATGAGATGGGGCTTTTGACAAACTCTAAAGTTTGCGCCCCAAATCAGACGAGAAAACGACCGCACCCTCTTTTGTTTTGTTTTGTTTTGTTTTTTGGACGTCTTTCCAGCTCAGTTGCACGAACTTGCGAAGACGGGGTCTTTGGGTTTAGGCCCCTCAGAAGTACGACGGGATGTAGAGCTGTGAACTCTGGTCACCGCTTTGATTTTTGGAACGGGTTTGAACCTGGGTCGCCGGCATCGCAGCAAGGAGTACTCCCTACCCGGCTTGCCATGCCATGACCCACGGTCGTAACGAGCGTGTCAGGTTTTGTTTGTGCAGCAGTTCCACTCACACCTGCGCCCTGACGTTCGGGTGCTGCTCGCTCCTGGCACCTCCACAGTGCATGCCGTGGTGCAGGAGGATGCGATCTGAGGACCTCTCGCTCTGCCTGAAGTTGTAGTCCCCTCTCTGTCGTTGCTGCTGTTGCTGTTGGAGCTGTTGGTCGAGCAGCGGGAAGAAGCTGTCCGTGTGGCTGTTGTTCTGGTAGTCGTGGTGGGGGTGCCGATGTCGTGGGTGCGTATGCTTGTCGCCGTGTGTCGCCGCCCCGGCGTTGGCGTTGCCGCCGGCGGAGGTTGTGGAGGAGAGCAGGGCCTGCAGGCGGCGCCTGGAGCAGCACCAGCGGGACACCGAGCCCGGCCAGCGAGACAGGCGCCGGCCCATGCGGCGCACCTCGCGGCGGAAACTTCTCGTCAGTGCACAGTACAGGAAGAAGTTGATGGAGTGGTTGATGTAGATGAACACGTAGAACAGCACCTGGGGAGGAGGAGGAGGGGTTGTTTTTTTTTCTTTTCTTTCTTTTTGGGGAAAAAAGGGGGATGGTGTTTGTTTTTTCTTGCTGTTTTGGGGGTTTTGGGTTTTTTCCGGAGGGGAGGGGGGATTGTTCTGTTTCTTTACTTTTATTTTGTATGGGTCTCTTATTTCATGTTAGGTTGTTTTGTTGTTTGTTGGGTTGTTTTTTGTTTTGTTTTTTTTTTTGTTGTTTTTTTGTTGGGGTTGTTTTGTTGTTGTTGTTTTTTGTTGTTGTTGTTTTTTTTGGGGGGGGGGGATTCAGTCTGTTGTCGATGTTAGTTGTGACATGTTGTAATAGTAAGTAATAAGTCCACCTAGAGACGTTCACTTAACGGCGGTCTTAGTTTTTAAAACATAGATACCCGCAAGGGCGCGTAACTGGCGTGTGCCAGAAGGCGGAAAAAAAATACCTTCTTCGTAAAGGGCCGTAACCTCGTAATTTGTGCAGGTTGATAATTTTCTGAATTACTGCTCTTTTATAGTTTACAGCGAGTGAGACGTATTTTTACGTTCTTTTCGCATCTTTCGTGCATCGTCTTTCTTTTTTCCCCGCGCGCGTTCCAAAATTCTTGCGCACAAAAGAAAATTATACACGTAGATATGCATAACAAATCAACTCGCATATCCTGAATAACTAGCAGTCGTGGAGAAGAAGAAGAAAAAGAAGAAGGATATATAGATCTATATAAAATTCGGTTTTTACACTACTCACGTTGAGAAACTTTAGCATGGCGTATTCCTCCCCCGTCTTTGGCCAGGGTTCCACCATCTTGAAGACGGTTTGTGGTAGTGTGAACAGCAGCCAGGAGATGGACAGGGCCAGCAGTAGGGCTGTCACGTAGTTGTACCTGGGGACAACGGTTGTAGGTTATACACAACAAATGTTAACAAACTTTTCGTTTTCGCGTGTTTTTGACTTTCAGCTCGTACCTTGCTTTTACCTTTTTTTCTCTTTTTTTTCCTCTTTATTTTTTTGAGAGGGGGGGGGGT